AATAGAGCTTGTTAATAAACCACAGAAAGAGAGAGAATAATGAAAGTGCAAACCTGACAGTACCAGCAAAATACGTGACCGCAAGGTGTGGCTGTTGGGTAGTGGCGATTACTCAAACAGAGTGTGCATTTGCTGCTCCTGGCCTGAGACTAGAAGGAGGAAACAAAATCGAGTAAATTAGCACGTGTTTTCCAGCTCTTGAACCAAATTAGCATGTGTTTTCAAGTATTCGCATAAGCAAGTATTCATATACTTATAACTTCGTATTTTGTTTATGTTCTCCGCTTATCTTAAACAAGAACACAGCTGGCAACCAAAGGGACAAATAAGAATTCTACCACCCTCAAAAGAATAAAAGTTTTCGAATGTATACCTCTGAAGTCGAAGATTCAGAGACCCAACTTCCCCTGGTAGCGTCCGCAGATATCAAATTACCTTCCTCATTTAACACAGGCAAATCTCGACCTATAAACCCATAAATCAAGGTTACATATTACAGTAGCAGCTACAAGGATACTCAATGACATTTCTAACAAAACTGGCTGCAAGGCAGACAATGTTTGAAGTTAATCTTGTTGCTTTTTATTGGGCTCAACTTAATTACTCTGACCTAAGATAAGCGATATTACTCTCATAGGCTGAATCAAGACCATATATATAAGTTAAAAAGATTACTAACACACCTACCTGCAGAAGTTTGGTGCGTACCAAAAGTCTGCTGAGCTGAACTTGCAATAGAGGATAAATTGCTGCGCCTCAGTCCTTCAGCAGCTATGATACAAAGCTGAATCAATAGAAATACGCCTAAAATTTGATATCTGCATGGGAGCCAACCATATGAGTCTGAATTTTATGGATAAAGTATTGCTATACAACTAATAATTCTCAGTCTATTGAACTTTTATAAAATTAAAATCAGACGAGTGCCGATCCTTTAATCATCAATCTGAAAAATATGAACGCCACAATGCTAAGATATGCTCAATCTGTGGTGTGAGATATATATAGCTCATAGAAGAGAGCAAGTGCAGATGAGAAAACTTGCTGATACTAGCAGGAAGGAGTAATCAACAAATGATAAACCTTCCGTGCATACTTCTTAGTGCGACTAAAGCATAGTCCATTAGGATATGAAATCCATACCGAGGCCTTTGGTTAGATGGTTTTCCGATGAACACATAACGAATGCCTGCTGCTCGTTTTGATATATGATAGAAGAGGCCTGCAGAGAATCAATGACAGCAAGAAATTAATTTCTTCTGCAATTTCATTATTAGAATTTACACTAGTAACACTAAAATACATGAACCTCTAAAAGCAGGAATCACCTTCAAAGTAAAAGAACATGAGGTTAGCACGAATAACCAATTGCAAAAATTCTCGAGCTATAGGAAGCACCTGGAGGGACCAGCATCACAGAAATGTTAACTACAAAAGGCATTCAATCCAGGTTATCTGATCACCAATCGAAGGCCACACAGAAAGATTGAAAAACAAGATAACATAAATTCGACCTAGCAATCAAGTTATAAACAGACATAAGAGGTGGATAAGTATACCGTAGGCCATCTCCGAGCTAACGAAATCCATAACCCGTTGAACTTCTCTTTTAATCTTCTCAAAGCTGAAACAGATGGACCAGATGTAGAGCCAGCTGAATTATGAATAGTGGAAGAAGATTGAGCATCATTGCTTAGTGAAGCACTGATGCCATAGAGCTCTTCGGAATCAGCTAGGGCTATGCCACGGTTAGCAGCTCTAGAGCTGTGTACAGTGCATTAAAAACAGACATGAGCACGCTCACAGCTTGCCAAAACTAACACTGAAATAACATAAGTAGATGAGTCAAAAAGTGGGTGGGAGTTGGAACCTAATTCGTTCGGCAATGTAAGGAAGGGCTGTCTGGTAGACAATGAAAAGCACACGCCTTGCTGGCATTGGAGGCAGTCCATAAGGTCCGGCAACCTGAAAACACAAGTATCAAGCATCAACTACACAAGTAACAAAGCAAAGCGCTTATAGCTCAAACGATTAATAACATTTATACTTGCAACCGAGGTCTTAAAATCACCAACAACAAATTAAACAAGGAGCTTGTAGCTCAATTGGTTAAGAGTGTTTATCCGATCTCATGTTTGAATCAACTACACAAGTAAAACAGCTCAGATGTGAGATTATCAGAAGCAAAATGGATAAACCTGAGTGATGTCGCAGTACTCTTCCCCGAGAGTTTGCTGGCCGGACCCTGTTGTCAAAACGTAATAAAGCACTTGCCCAAGAAGCTTTGTCTGCCAAAACCAAAAGAAAAGAGAGTGATGAACTCCAATCTCCATGGATGGAGCTAGTTGTAAATATCCCAATTCCCAGGAATTAAAGTTCAAAACTTGGAATTGAACCCAACCTCGTTCTGGTAAGCTACAGAAACTCTCGTACCTAAAACACACAAGGGCGCCGAATGTAAGTACTAATTAGCTCAATTAAACCTTAATTGCAATCGTAATCTGCAAATTAACAAACCCAAGAGGTGGCGGACGGCGTCTCGGCAAGCGTCGTAGACGAAGGAGGCGTACTGGTCGTCCTTTTCGGCTGCTCTCATGATCTCCGGCTGAGCCGCAAGTGGGAACTGCCGTGCCACGCCCGGGTCGCTGCTGCTGCTGGGACCCGGTTCTCCTCCGCTCGGGCCGGCTTGCTGCCCCGATCCGGTTGCCTCGTTCCAACCCATCTGCTATCAGTGTCAGTTGTTGCAATTCCAATTCAAAATTCGGAAGATTTGAAAAGACTGAGAGTTGAATTTGAAGAATGGAAGAGAAACAGAAACGACTGGAGATGTCTGGTTGCTCGAGGAGGAGAACGAAGAAACTGGAAGAAGATAAATCCAAGTGACGTCGTATTGACTTAAAATAAATAGCAAAAGTTGTGGAATTTGAAAAAAAATGTAAAACGCCGTTGCCGGGGATCGAACCCGGGTCACCCGCGTGACAGGCGGGAATACTTACCACTATACTACAACGACTTGGTTGTTGATTGAATCATGAAACTAAATTCTTATTTTGAATGCTAGTCTGTAATACTAACTCACACTCACACCATTCAATTTAATTTGTTAATTTTATCTACTCGTGGACCATCAGGTGCTTTAATAAGCATATGTCAAATTTGTCAAATTTTTTATTATGTCAAAGTTATTTTCATTCATTCTAATGAGAAAAACTAATAGTAAATGTGGTAAAGTAACGAGTATTTTAGCATGTTTTAAAATATTAGTACGACTCATAATCAAATTGAAAATAGATTAAGTAAATTGAAAGAATGTGATTAGTGAGGAGGCGTTTGCTTAATTCTTCTTTAAATTCGAGTACAGCCTTGTCTTATACCAACACTCACGTAGATAACAAACCTTTGGTAGGAAAACAAGCGAAGCCTTATCTCCAGCGAAACAAACCTCCAAATAGCACCGACGACATTAACCAGAAAAACTGCTTCCCTGCATGCTAATACCTTACGCCAATGGCTATGTCGTCTTCCACCTCTACAATATATACTGCCCAGAAAAGCTTTCATATTACTAATCCTACTCCAAAGATTGGCTGTGCATTTTCGAATTCCATAAGTTTTGCGTCTAAACCGCGCAGGCTTTGCATTATTAGGAGCTCCGGCGATGCACCGGCAGAGACTGTTACCACCGAAGCCGATACAGGAAGCTCCATTGAAGTTCCGAAAGAACCGCCTTCTCTGATCTCTGCTCTCAACGTCGAACGGGCCCTTCGTGGCATACGTACGTAACGCCGATCTTGATTACTTTCTTTTTATATAGAAGACGATAGTTTAAACTACTCTAGTATACCGCAAAAGGCGAAAGTATCCAACTAGCCGAACACACATATGCGTCCCAATTCAAATTTGAATTTAAGTCTTTCAGATTTCCCATTAAGCTTGATTAACTCACAAGAAATGGTTTGTATTCCAGCAATTACAGATGTTGATCACTATGGCAGGCTTGGACTTCAAAGAGGATGCTCCTACGATGAGGTCCCAACTTTTATTCTTGCCTTATTTTTCACAATTAGTTTGACATATTCTTCCATATAGTATAAGTGTCAGTCGAATCTAAGACCTTAAGACCTTTTGTCATTGAGACCGTTATTTAACAAATTTAGTTTCTCTTAATTTTAAGCAGGTTTCAGTTGCATACAAAGCCAACCTTGACAAGCTAATGAGCCAGGGGTTAGAAGAAGAGGAGCTAAACAAGAATTTGGAACCTTTAAAAGTACGTTTTAAATAACCTTTTGTTCTCTTAGTTCAAATGATTTTTACTTGAAATTATACCGTCTGAAAAGCAAAGTGCTTCTGAAAAATATTTTTGGTCATCTGAAAACGCTTTTAACCAATCTAAAACCTTTTCCAAATAGGCCTTCGATGGATATATTGTCATTATACTCTCCCATAACACTATATGCTGATTAAATTTGTTTATCATCCATAGGAGTCGTACACAATCTTGTCATCGGGGGATGAACGCAGATTGTATGACTGGAGCCTGGCCAGGAGCGCAAACCCAGACGGGTACATTTGGCCTTATGAGGTTGAGAAAACCAGGGCGGCAGAAGGAACTCCGCCGCCAGTGGGGGTACTTACTAATCTTTGTCCGTAGTTTCGTAATTATTTTTTTCGATTTAATCATTAGGTTCAAGGTTTTCATTTTTCTTGTTAATCTCGGAGAGGACAAAGCCGGTTGAAATCAGGTTAAACCATTTTAATTTCTTCCCAAGGATAGTCGGAATGAGTTCGTCATGAGTCCCCTTGCGGACATGGATTTGAATTGCTTAGGGTTTCGGTTCAAGTTCAGTGTCCGTGCGAGTCAAGTCCGTTAAGGACTTGCATGAAACGGAGACACCAAGATTGCAGCGTCGAATAATTGTTTTGAGACACTGCAACCAGGATGTACCCGTTTCATGTCCTCTTGTCTAGTTTTGGTTGTCCATGAATAACTGAGAAACCCGTCGAAATAATCTCTGCGACCACTTCTTATTGCAGGAACCAGAGGATCCAGGGCCGACGAGGTTGGTGGGGTACTTCATATTGGGATGGTTGATATTGTCCATCGTATTATCCATCGCCCTTAACCGATCGAGCCCTTAATCGACCCAATAAGTTTGTTGGAAACTTGCATTACATGTCAAATATTTTTCTTTGCAGCTTCTTAATTTTGCAATAGTCGGTAAGTATTGCTGCGTTGGACTGTTGGGTTGCAATTGCATTGGGTACAATTGCATCTTCCTGGGGAAGAAAAGCAAGATATCCGACCTGAAAACAGAGAGAAAAACACTTCGTATTAGTAAAATTCAGAAAGTAACCAGTTTACTACGAGTAACGCATTACCTTTAGCATCGGAATCTGGCACGTACGATCCATTTACCTACAAATTGGTCTTTACCACGCCGAGAAACCGACGCTAAAACATGAAATTCTTACTATCAATATACATTATACAAAATATGCAGTGTAATCTTCGGTTTTTAAGATTATAAGTGCACTAAATTAAACACGAAATCTCTAAACAGTGTATTATAATCTTTTTACTAATGCAAAGTGGAGTGCAAGAAGCTGGGTAACTAGGATATAACATAAAAGCGATAAACATATACTGGCGAACCAAATTTTGCAGCTCCGAAACGTTGAAGATTTGTGGAGTCAGTTTTTTGCTTCTCCCCCTCGTTTCATGGCTTCTGTTTCTGTACCTTTTTCCCTCTGAAAGAGAACATACCTTCGCTGGCTTTAACATGTCTGCGAAAGTAAGTTTCGGGACGAAAGAAAAGCATAAGGCCCTATGATTACATCAACAATTGCTGCTCTTCTTAAAACTTTTGAATGCTAGCCTCTCCCTTTGTTATGACCAAGCTAGAATAAGTGAAGAGGTTGGTTAGCAGATATTTACAAATAGTTACTGTCCAAAAGCCAAGTCAATCAGATCTGTTTCAATAAAATCAACAGAGAATCGGCATTAGATCAAGTATCCTGCACAAGTCCGAGATTACTGTGCGCTAAACATGTTGCTTTCAACAAGTATAGGCAGGTTTTATCAAGACATAAACGGAGCTAATGACAAACATTAATACAATCTAACTGAAACGAAAAAGTACCATATAGAACATCAAAGTTTAGAAATGCGACTTCATCTACACAATTTACCTCACAAATCAGTCCTGATGTTTTCTAGTGTTTTCTTTTCTGTCTAGAATACGGATAACCTTCTCCACAATCTTCATCTGACCCACTAACCATCTTCCACCTGTCATGACTCCGCTCATCGACATTACTCTTTCCACTGAGCTTAGAATGTCTAGAACTGTGACTGCTCTCTTTCTGCAACTTCTTATCACTGGAACCACTTTGATCAATACCATATCCTGAGTGGCTGCGATATTTCTGATTGTGCCTTTTGGATTCATGCTCGATCCTGTTTCTGTTATTGTCTTTGGTATATCGATGATGACTCTGACTGGAATCACTGCCACACTGCTCTCTTTGATCCTTATGCTTTCTGGAGCTTCTATGGTGGTGCTTCTGTCTCTCTTCACTGTGGCAACCGGAGCTACTTGGCACATCGTCTAATTCTGAACTTGATCCTTCCGTGCGATGATACTGCTTCTGATCTTGACCATCAACCACCAAACGGGAACTCTTCTGCTGACCTTGAACTGCAAGCCTGTCTTCATCTGTGTGATTGTGATGCCGAAATTGCCTCTGGGACCCTTTAGTAGAGCCATCCTCAGAGTAACTTATGCTCATTTCCCTGTTTATACGAGATCTGTGGTCATGTATTTTTTCCGTCCCATTATAGTAATGTCTCTCGTTTAAATCACGGTCTTCGTCATCTTCACCATCATGAGATTGTTCTCTGAAGCAGGACAAAACGACTCGTTAGTCATTAAAAATCAGGTATATTAACAAACTATAATCAAAACCAATAATATTATTTCAGATGCAAGATAGCATAACCAGAGATGCATAAACCTTTGCCCTTACATACACACGTAGATCAAATAATATGTACATAAGTTCCTCCTACTGATTATTGATAATAAAAGACTCACCTCCTCAAATTCTCATTTGAAACTTTTCTTCTCTTTCCCCGACCATGAAGATCCACGGATTCCGTACGACTTAAATGCCAGTCTTCACCAGTCACTGGAAGAGGAGCAACACCTCCCATCCTCATATATCCACTGCAAGATGGTTTGGTGTAAAAATCAATATAATGCAATTATGAAGAATACTTCATATGATTTAGGACGAATAATAATGAATATCTTACGTACAGCAATCAGCTAAAGATGAAACTGAACCTACCCAAAGGAAGGGAATGAGTTATACATAGATGGCATGTATGCAGGAACAGCATAAGGACCAGGAGGGACCATATTTGTACCAAAAGCCATCCTCGCATGATTTCCATATGGATTTCCAAAGGGCATGGCATGAGGTGAGGGAGCCCCATTCCAGTATGGTGGTACATAGCCTGGCACAGCTCCTGGAAAGATTGCATTTCCTAAAATCCACAAATTGGTGAGCATCACAGGCAAGAGTTCACGCAATTACAAATGAATGCGTACAACTCCTATTTCATACCTGCATGAAGCATAGGATGTGGGCTTGAAGCAACTGGACAGTCTCTGATGAAATGGTCTGGCGAACCACACCTGTAACAGGTACGTTCCCCCTGATTCCATAAAGACAGGTATACATTCAAAAAACGCACCCAAAATTATAAATAATTAAGTCACACAACCAAAAAGCGCTCAAACAATGATAAACAGTTTGTTCCAACAATAAAAATGAGAATTTTCACGTCTACTTTCACAATAAATACCTTTCTGTGCTTTCCAGTCTCTGAGAAGCTCTTGTCACCACCTGGTGAATAGCATGATTGTCAGAAAAGGTTACACATGCCAAAACAACAATCGAATTAAGTTCCAGAAATGTCACAAGGACCAAGTTAGATACTACCTTCTGAAGAAACCCAAGGTGGCCTCCTTTTTGTGATTGCTGGTTTAACATCTTTTTGGAAAGGAGGGTTAAAAGCAGATTCTGCAAATAAATGATTAGAACCTGTCCCTGTTTCAGGAGAATGAGGCGCCTCTGCCTCTCTTTGTAAAATATTACCGCCCCGAGACACATCTTTGGCCTGAATTCCAGATTCTCCATCTGTTTTTACATTAATAACTTGTTAAACACAAGAGTGGGGTTAAGGTATGTCAGAATAAACATATGTGAAACTCCTACCTGGAGCATACTGGCAACAATCATTATCTGGAGCAGTGATTAAATTTTGAGATTCTAGGAAATGCTCAATTGCTTGCCTCAGAGAAACATTTGGCAGCAAATCTTCTACTCTGCATTTGGTCAAAAGACACTTGGGACATCTGGTCTTCTCTCGCAACACTTGAGAAATGCCTGAACACAAAAATGTGCATAAGCTATCACGCTCAGGTTACAGCCCAGAATCACTAATACCTAACACGACATCTCTCACGAAAACTATCCAACGGTAAACTATCAGATGGAAAACTAACAGACCATAGACTTACATTTCTCACAAAAACTGTGCTGGCAGCATGGTATCATTACGGCCTCCTTGAAAAATGCGTTGCATAGAGAGCATTTCAGCTCTGATGACAAATTAGCATGCTGTGTATCTAGGGCAGTCGCACTGCCCACCCTTCATTTACAAGAGAGAAAACAAGTCAGATCATTGAGACCGAAGAACCAGACAAACAATAAGATGATACAACAAATGCATCTCTTACCTTTCCACATTCATGTCTTCTTCTTCAGGCTTTGATTTTGTCGGCAATATGATTTGTTCAACTCCACTATGCACATGAACTATATAAAATAATTCAGAGTGGTAAGCATAGGCCTAACACATGAAAAGACTACTACAAGTAACAAACATAGGCCTAACCCGTGAAGCTTTGTAATCGAAGCACATACCTCCTGGAAAAGCATCACTAATGCTACTTGCTTCAAGTTTCAAGCATCGTCTCATAGCGGGCTCCGAATATCTAATACAAATTGAAATCATGTACAGCATAAATACCAAATATTTACCGAACGTTTGGTATATCCGATTCCAAAGTCTTAAAATAAACAATCATACACCACCAGGGAATCACTAATAAAAGAAACAATCAAACCTTTTGATGCCGTTATCGGTATTTGGTTGATAATCATAGATGAAGTTATCCTTGTCCGTATCCAAATCAGAACTGAAAACGATTTCTTTAGGAATGGGATACAAGTCAACCCCAAAGTCATCAAAGTCAACAGTCTTAGCATTCTACGAAACACCAAAGACACAAGAAAAAATTAAATAGATAATCAACCAAAGAGCTTCAAATGTGACTAAGAAATATCCACAACTGCAACTTGAAATGCGAGTGCGAAGTTTAAGATACAAACCGGTGCAGCGGGTGATTTAGCATCCACAGAGTCCTTGCTATGAAGATTCTGACATGAATTGAAGTGAGGCCTGTCACAAATCATAAGAATAAATTCAAATTCCGAAACAATAAACAAACTTTGATCGCCAATTAATATGCATGTCAACTGAAAACGTGCACGGAATACATAAAAATATAAATCAAACGGATAGGTATCTTACTGATTCACATGTACTGATCCTGCAGGAACTCGCTTAATTACCACGCTAGAACCGCAAGGAATTTGAATGCTCTCGTCGTTGTACTCTGTAATCAATCCGAAACCGAAAGGCGTTTCAAAACGTAGCTAACAATATACATAAACCCTAATTCCAATTCCATGCAACCAAACACCAAAATCGTAATTCTAACGTGTTTCTGAATCAAACGGACAAAAAAAGAAAGGATTCACGGCTAACTGTAACGTCTCAATTGGTTGTCCTCCCGTTTTCTAGGCAACCAAACAGAAAAATAAAATTGAAAGCGACAAAGGCTATTGACAAAGAGAAAGGGAGGGAGAAAGTTGACCTTGACCGGTTACGGCGTCAGAGAAGACGAGTTCGGAGTCTTGGCAGAGGTTGAGGTTCTTGTGGCGAATTATCTTGGATTTGAGATCGCGAACGGAGATGGAGGCGCGGCCGTCGATGGCGACGGATTCAAAGTTGACGGAGCTTCTGAATTTGAACTGGACCGCCATGGCAGAGCGGAGGAGTCCAGTCGGTGGGAATCAAAAACTTCAGATCATCAAGTTTTCAGGTGGAGAGAGAGAGAGAGGAGGGAGAGAGGAGAGAGAGAACGGAGACGTGACGGAAAGAAGGTTATATACGGGATTTTCCAAGAAATTTCCGTTTTCTTGGTGCGAAGGTTATGATCTGGACTATAAATTGTTTAATAAAAAGCCCAAAACAAAAGATAAACTAAGAAACAAGTTAAGGTCCAAATCAAATTTGGATTTGAACTTTTAAACATGATTTAACTTTTTCTAAGAAAGTTCCTCATAAAGAGTTAAATAGAAAATTGCCCAAATTTTGGTGAAACTCTCCTAATACCCAAAATGCTCCTCCTTTTTTACAACTTTAAAAAAGAACAAATTAAAATTAAATAGCAAATTAGTAAAAAAAATCAGAAGAAAACAACCACATACAAGAATTACTAACTTAAAAAAAAAAATCATAAACTGTAAATTAAGGATTTTAAAAAATTAAAATGCCTAAAAAATAAAGATTATATTGAAAAGAACAAAAAAATTGTCACCCGTTAGCTCTTGTGACAAAAGGCTAATAGTAATATAGTGCATGATTATTAATTTATTTCCTCTAAATGCATATAAAATTCCCTGTCTCATTACTGAGTTGGGCTTGAAATTTCAGCCTATGTCTGGCGGGCCTCCGTCATTAAAAAAAGCCCGCTTATGCTTAGAAGGACTACAATTTGAAATGGTGAGCCCACAATATTTTCAATAAGAAGCCCATAACCAAATTACCAAATTTGATCCAGTTAATTTCTCATCCTTTTCTCTAGATAGAAGATACAAGCAACAGTCCATTTTTCTTGTACAAATATTTATTTTTATTATTCAACTTGATAAACATGTTTGTATACATAATTTCTCTTATTTAGCAGACTCATCAACTTTGTTTATTAGTATCGTCAACGTATACGTAAAAATTAGTATTTTTTTAATAAATACGTATACATGTATGTTGTAGTTGACATGAAACCAATCAAGATTTTGTGAGAACCATAGGGCCAAAGAAGAAAAACAACCTTTGGTGACATGGACAGAAGACTAGACGTCACATGGTTAGCTCAACTGCTCAAACTTTAGAACGCATCGTAATTTGCGACCGTTTACGTTTTCTTTCATGATGGCATCATGAAGAACAGTAATGCTGCCAAACAATAGGCCCTGTGAGGACCATTTTAATTAACACCGTCCTAAGACTAGATAGAGTTGTAAGATTATATTTTTGCTTGACCGTGATCAAGGGGAAGATGAACTTCTTTCAGACTTAAAAAGGTTGGATAATCATGGTTCATCATTAGTTGTCCTCTTTCTTGGAAAGATAAACAACACGTTCAATCTTACATCATGCCTCGTCTCTACTTCGAGAGATTTTTCAATGTGACCGAACATGGGGTGTTACATCACGTGTTACAATACAAATGGTGGGATATGTGTGTTGAAAAGTTAATAACTTAAATATTAAAATTTTCCATCACTTATATAAAAACACGTAGTGTATCACTTCTGGTCAGAATGAAAAATTTATCATTTACTTCCTCTTGTCTCTATCATTCGGGGAAAAGAAAACTCAAATGTTTGTCTTCCATACTTCCACCCAGCTGTCTGTCTTTCTTGCATCCTTTTTTATTTCAGTTTTCCTTTAACAAGAGTTAGGCACCACCAAATTCCTATTTTTGTTTGATAAAACAACCGGAGAAGACGAGTTTGCCCCCGGAGAAGACGTGTGACGTGAATTTTGTTTTTTTTTGTTTTCCTTCAATTAGTTCGCTAATTATTGTTTAGATAAAACAAAAAAGTTTTTATTTTTTATAATTCTATCTACCTTAAGATTAATTAATCTAATGATCTTAACTAAAACGGTCATCACATGATCTCATTCTTAGGTCCTTAGGTGAGCAATAATGTCATGCATAATCTCCCATAAACCAAACAAATCATAAAATTATTATTATTATATTTAATGTCCAAGGAGGAGAGGCAATGCCAAGGAGATGTGAAACAAGATCTATTTGTATTGGAATGAGGAGCCTCTCTAGATTCTCTTTGTGAGGATTTTGAGAATCCTCAAATCGTGTCCGTTTATCGTACATTGTACGGTCAAAAATCATTTTAAATATTTTTATTTAAAATTAAATATAAATAATACCTGACGAAAATTGACCATACGATGTACGAACAAGATTTGAGGATTCTTGAGATTCTCACAAAGAGAGTCCGAAGAGGATCCTCATCCTTTGTATTGGACGAATTCATCATTATATGACATTTTAATTTAATAATACAATGATATGTAAAATAAAATAATAATAATAAAACACTTAACATGTATAATTAGACTGAAACATCAGTGTAAATATAAACTATAATTAGACTGAAACATTGGTGTAAATATAAACTCATTCCATACAAATCACTTTCACGTGAGACATAACATTGTCATTATCATATCTACCTTTCCATTTCCCTGGTACATGAATACGTTTACCTCCCTTGAAAGTTAGGTACGTGCTTATTAATTTAATTTCGTCAAATACTTCAATCACGTTTTGATTTTTTAAAGATTCATGACCCCATGATTTGATTACTTTCTGAGTAGTATAGGACACTAGATGTCTTGATCTTGAACCATGTGTACAGACAAAAAATTTCACATGTCCTTTCTTTGGTGAGGACAACATGGGGATTGGTGAGGATATTATTAATTATTCGTTCTTTTTTTCTTACGTACATGGTGATGAAGCTGCGCCCGAAGCTTGTGTCGTCGAAATCAAGGTTGGGAAGGTGATTCGAGGAGAACGAAGAAGTTCTTAGCTATTCTGATGGTTTTCACAGGGGACAAGCTAAGAACGGTTAGTGAGGTTGTTAGTGAAAGCGAGTCCTGGTTAATTCCATTAAAACTAGTCCAGCTAGGAAAGAAACACGAAGCTGGACTAATCTTTAGTCTAGTCCAATCCAGTGAACTTTAGTGAGGGGAAACAAACACCCCCTTATATTGTTAGTTGTTAATTAAGATCTGATGATAACGTCATATTATAATACCATTAAAAAAAAAAGTAGGAAGCTTGAAAGTGAATATAACGATAATGTTCACTAAAAATAATTTTCTTTATTGTTACAAGACGTTCGTATAACGATCAACATTATTAGTTGAATACATTGACGATTGCCATATAACTTTATTAAAGCAAATAGTCTTCTCCATAAGTTGATACGCAAGTTTATGAGGACCCTTGGTTTTATTTTATTTTATTGCCATTGAGTGCCCTTGATTAGAACATGGTCAAATTAATTTATGAGGACCCTTGATTTTATTTTATGTATACTTCTGTTGCTGTATGAAAATGATGTTTGTGACTCTGCAGCCTATTGGACTTTATTAACAGTCCTTCTGGAAGCTTAATTTGGTTGGATGTTGAAGGGGTTCTACCTCATTGACTTGGCTGTAATTAAAAGTTAGAAGAACCGTATATAAATGTTTATGTGTGCGCGCGCGTGTTACTGAAAGTGGGTATTCAGTGAGGGGTCGATTTAAGGTGTACGCTAGTCAGTCATCATCATGCTTGCGGAATTATTATTATTATTATTATTTTAAATGGAGAAATATTAGGTTAGATTAGTTCTTCGTCAATGGCTGTGAGCAAGGCATCTACCTTCTTCTAAAAAGGTGAGGACCATTACACCGAAGAAAAAATCCCGCTCGTTCCTCCTCCACCATATTTATTGATAATTAAAGAAATAAAATAAAAAAGATATAGGCGGGGGGCTATGCCAAGACCCGCAAAGATAAAAACAATCAACAAAAATGCTTGCAGAAATTATAACTACAAATTAAATTGATATTTTGAGGACAAATTGAAGTTGCAAGGAAGTTTATATTATAATTAACTACAAATTAAATTTGTTCAAAAAACTACAAATTATATTGGCATGTGGTCATTTTCTTTTCTTTATTTTGATATTACATGCATGAAAGACAGAGAGAGAAAAACTAATTAACCGCTGAATATATCCTTAATAACTTTGAATGATATTGGTATAAAACGTGACAAAATTCAATGAATGTAGTGCATGCATTGATTTCATCAACAAAATTGGTGTAAAGCTAAAACTGGGTTAATTTCAACATGCTCCATTATATTCCTCCATAGTTTCAACACCAACATCATAATAAAGAAATACAAAAATGTCAAATATGGATGGAGCAAGGAACTTGTAGTTGGAGTTGTAAAATGCGTTTACATCTATACCCAAAACCTTTATTCGATCCACTCCCCCAATATTGATGTATCTTACACAGATAACCAAAATTTTAACTCCTAGATTAAAAAATGTTATTTTTTATAAAAACTATCATTTATAGTCAAAATCTCACATCAATTTATTGAAGTACCCTCAAAATAGAAAACCAAACGCCAAAGAGATTTTCTTTATGTTCTTTCTTCTTTGATCTTTTTCATTTTAATGGTTTAATTATTTTCATATCCCAATTCGAATTGGAAAAGATAGAAGGAGGAGCATGATGAAATTAAACATTTTATGACGAGGTATTTATTCTGATGGATATTAAGTCAATCAAATTATCAATTTCATTTCTTAATTTACAAGCCTACAAATATGATGATGAAAAATTCACATAACAACAAGTTTTAAATATTCTTGTGTGATAAGTAATTGGTATTTCTCAGAAAATTTTGTTATGTATTTTTGCATATTTTTTTAATAGTATTCTGTAAGTATTCATTTTGATGGAAATTGCGATCATATGCTCTCATGCATTCTGCACATGAGCTCTTAAACATAGGGCACCCAAATTAGGCATTTAATTAAGTAATAAAAATTGAGCATAATATGCACAACCAGTGAAGCAATTTAATATGAATATGTGAAAGACAAAAAGAGGGAGACGGAGGAAGTGCTTTGCAGCAAATCACCCCAGAAAAGTGCATTGGAAGATGAGAATATTTTGGATCGATTTTATGGTATATGTGACGATAATCATATATATGACAATTCAAATTCAAAGTATAAGCAAGTTGATGATGCTGCTTCTAAATCCCAGTATGGCAGAATGATACTGGAGAACAATGATGCTTGATTAGGTTTTG